AAGCCCGGCCGGTGTGACCCAGTGGTTGAGTGTTGACCTATGAACCAGGTCACGGTTCGATTCCTGGTCAGGGCACACACCAGGGTTGCAGGCTCGATGCCCAGTAGGGGGCTTGTAGGAGGTAGCCAATCAATGATTCTCTCTCTTCCTCTCCCTTCCTCTCTCTGAAATCAATAAAAAACACTTAAAATTTTGTTCTCCTTAAAAAAAAACACACCAGTAACTTAAAAACTAAATATAACATGGTATCCTGGATCAGATCCTAGAACAGAAAAAGGGTATTAGTAGAAAAACTGGTGAAATTGAATAAAATTGCAGTTTAGCTAATAGTAAAGTACCAATGTTAGTGACAAATGTACCACAGCTATGTATATCTGGGTGAAGGATATATGGAAACTCTGTAGTATTTTTGCAACTTTTCTGCCAATCTAAAATTATTCCAAAGAAGCTTATTTCTATTAGAACAGTAAAATTTAGTAAACATATAACATTTCCTATGCACTCACCTATGGGCCAGGTGCTTTTAAAAGTGCTTTATATAAACACATTTAACCCTCCCAAGAACCCTGTAAGGTAGGCATTACTTACAACTAAATTTTACAGATGAGAAGTTCTGTGATAGAACAGAGATTTGAAAGCAACCACTATACTATATAGCCTTCTGAGGAGCCAGACCAAGAAAACGCTCCTTCCTTCTAGTACCCAGGTCACACTGCTCACCCTGTCCTCAGCCTCCATCAGGGAAGAAATTCCTCTGCCCAAAGCCTGGGAGTCCTTGCTAGGATTGTGAAGGAATGTGACTCCACCACATTGTGTTCATAATCTTTTAGTACTTGATGCACTCAGTGCTCTTCTTATTGAGACACTATTATACACAGAAGCTAGTTTTTATGGTATTATCAGTTTTCAAGTTCAGACACGTTGGGTTGGCCTGGGAATCTGAAGGCCACATGTGACATTATTTCTATGGGAAAACGGAATTGATTTCCAAAAAGAAATTCTTATAATTGGACCATTTAGAAATTAAAGATCCCTCTACACAGTTCCCAAATACCAACATAATATATACAAATTTTAATAGAGACACTGCAGTTAATCAAAGTGGCACAGTTCCTTATACCTAACATAATAGGAATGGTGTTACTGGAAAAAAATTGGCTGAATATTTTATGGATTTCCTTCACTATGGCCAATTTTGGATGTATCCAATAGTTAATATACTTCTCTGCCTGGACCCCCAATAAGCTTTATATCTAGAAATTACTACCAAATAAACAAATGTCTTTCACACACACCCAGAACAGAAGAGGTGTCATCTCCGAAGGTATCCAAAGTAAAAAAGTAGCATCAATAATGACGATGACAAAGGAATAATAACAAAAAGAACTAACTCTGAGCATATTTACCTTTGCTTGGCATGTTCTAAATATTATACATCCTCTGGCTCCTTTAATCCTCACAAAAATCCTATGAAGTAGGTATTACATTATCACAATTTCAAAAGTGAGGAAACAGGTCGGAGATTGAGCAACTTGCCCAAGATCACCGAGCTAGTTAGTGTCAAAAGGAAGATTTGCCCCGGCCAGTGTGGCTTGGTGGTTGAGCATCAACTTATGAACCAGGAGTTCAGGGCACATGCCTGGGCTGTGGGCTCAATCTCCAGTGGGGGGTGTGCAGGAGGCAGTTGATTCTCTCTCATCACTGATGTTTCTATCTCTCCCTCTCCCTTCTTCTTTGAGATAAATAAAAACATATTTTAAAAGATAAACGTAAGATTTGGATATTTGAGCATTTTACCCTTGGAGATCATGCTTTTTAACCATTGCACTGTATGTGTAATTAAATAATTTGGTAAACTCTCAAAATAAAGGAAGCTGACTCAAATTCATTTTAAAAACAAGAGTGGCCCTAACCGGTTTGGCTCAGTGGATAGAGCGTTGGCCTGCGGACTAAAGGGTCCCAGGTTCGATTCCGGTCAAGGGCATGTACCTTGGTTGCGGGCACATCCCCAGTGGGGGGTGTGCAGGAGGCAGCTGATTGATGTTTCTCTCTCATTGATGTTTCTAACTCTCTATCCCTCTCCCTTTCTCTCTGTAAAAAACCAATAAAATATTTTAAAAAAATAAATAAAAACAAGAGTGGTTTGGAGACACCTCCTCCCAGCCAATGAAGAACCTCATCTTGCCTTTTATTAGTAATATGTCCTGCAACCAAGCTAAAACTGAACACATTTATGGAGAATAAATTTAAAATATATTTTGCTTTGCTTTTATCACCTTGAAATCCTTCACTTAATTGAACACTACAAACAGAGGTAACTGCATCTAACTTCAACAACAAACAAATAAAAGTTTACTTTAAAATCTTCAGGTAAAACACACTGTCCATGTTTACCGCTCAGTAATCTAGGGTAAAATAACTAAGAATTCCAGTACCCTTGAAAAGTTTCAAAACAGCAGCAAGATATAGTGGGAACAAGATATTCCTTTATGACAAAGAAAAAATGTTCTTTCTACAACACTATCATCTGCTTTAATGACACACATTAACTTGGGATGGTCTGAACTCAAAACATGTGCCTGAATTCTTAGAAGAGTTCAGAAATTCTCCACTGACAATCTAAAAAAGCTATCAGTTTATCTCCCAGAAGAACCATCTGATCCACAGAAGACATCTAATTTTGGTGAACTAAAGGTGTGCTCCCTACCATCCCACCGAGTAATTAACAAAAAGCATGCAACCCCCAACTTCTGGAGCACAAGCTGGCTTTTTAAATCATCTCTTTGAACCTCAGAACTTTCTTTCCCAGGAAACAAAGGTCTATGTGCCAGGTTTCCAAGCCAACCCACAAAAACTTAAACACCCATAAGGTTACAGAAGTATAATAAATTACCGAACCTATAGGAAAACCCATTTAGCATTTAACTTTGAATAAAAGCAACTACCCCTGCCCCACTCAGTCCTGGAAGTAGAATTTTTCCCTCCCCCAACTGGGAGTCTGGACTCCCCTAGGACTAAAGGCCCAGGCTTCCATGATCAAAGCAGAGCACAAGGAAAGGCATGAAGGAGGTTGATTGGCAGGGCATTAGACCTCAGGGTTAGGACAAAAAGTGCTGCATTGGGAGGAGATCCTGGGATAAGGAAGGCAAGACCTACTTGGGAGAGAGGGCTGAAGGGTGGGATAGCAGCTAAAAGGAACAAGTCAAAAGTGTGGGGTTTGGGGTGGGCTGCAAAAGAGGACAAGAGAACAGTGCCTGCTCCTGGAGCAGATGGGCTTTTACAAACTTTCCTCTTTAACACTTAGGAGAGGGAAGGAAAAGAAAAAGAGAAACCGTGGCAGTATCAAGGCCCTTCCTCCCTCACTCTGGCCACTCTTTCTCCTTTCAAGAAAAAATGGAAACATGGCCAGGGAGGTCAGTTGTTTAGAGGGTTGTCCCAATACACCAAGGTTGTGGGTTCGATCCCCAGTCGGGGCATATATAAGAGTCAACCGATGAAAGCAGAAATAGGTGGAGCGGCAAGTCAATGTTTCTCTCTCCTGTCTCTCATCAATAAGTTAAAAAAATAACAAAGTGGGTTATGGGGTCTTGTCCAGATCTCGAACTCCTCGAGCAGAGTGAATCGAAGGGAAGAGGACTTTAAGTTTTGTTGCCCTCCTTGTCAATATCCACTCTGCCAAAGACTTCATTGTGTCAACTGAGAACTATAGGAAGGCTCCATGCACCAGCAGTAACAGTCAGAAAGAGAGGAAGGAAAGTAAGAAGAGAAATTTGAAGCAGGAAGGAAGTGGGATGTTGCAGGATTGAACAAATTAATAGACCTACCAATGAATTAAACTATAATAAATATTCTTAAGTATTTAGGATTAATTCATTTTGACAGTTCCAAATATTTCATCAGCTCCATTTCACTCTTGGACAAATGAATATTGGTGGCCATGAGGTTTATTATGCAGAAGGTATGAAAATAAGCTTCTAAAAACATTGGAGACAATTTCCTGGTGTCTTTTATTTATATAGAGGCAATATAAATCATTTCAGAAAGGCTTTATTTACTTGAAGAGTACTCACATTATCATTTGTCGATTTTTTCACTCCAATAGCCCAAATACAATGAGTAATTACCTTCACAAATAAGGAAGTGTATTTAACTCTTTCTTGGGAGTCTGCCTCTAATGAAAATCTTGCTCATTCAGACCAAATATTGCCCATCAGGATTCCAAGGTTTTATTTCAAGCAAAGCTCCAAACTTCATATATCACGAACACGCAGACACATCCTGAGGAACACAGGACTTCTTTTCCCTCTGCCTCTAATGCCCATGTTTCTGAGAGAGGGCTATTTAACTAAAGACCTCCAATTTACTTCTTAAAAGATGGAGCAGCAAATCCCAACTTCCATAACTTCTCCTGAAATTCCAGCCAGGGATAATTAATTTGACAAGTAAATCTAATCAAAGGACCCGCAAAGGATGAGTGCCAGCTAGCATCCCTTTAAAAAAATTTTAGCAGCTACTCTTCCAGTTGAACTCTCTTAAACAGAGATAATGACTGGGACGGCAAGCTCAGCAGAACATCAAAGATGCAAGAGCAGAGACCAATGGGGGATAAAAGTAACCAATGGCCGTGGCACTAGCAAGATGTTCCTGCTGTTTCACTTCATCTAAGATACTGCTTGGAATCTCGAAGGTCTTTTACTCCCTAGCCCCACAGAAGATTATGCTGGATCCCAGAATAGCTACTGTGTTTTCTGTAAACCACACACTAGGTCCAAAACTTCTGCACTAAATGAAAGAGAAGAAAAACAGTATCTGTTATCAAGTACTCCACTTGCAGGTCGGTGTATGTACTAGTATACCTCCAAGCTATGATAAAGCAAATTCAAACCCCTATAAATAGTTGGTATTTTATTTTAATAATATTATTTGAAAAACTATTCAGGATCAGAATAAACAAAACATTTAAAGTACATTGGGCATGCTGAAACTGGAGACAAAGATAGTGAACACTATCTTTCAGATAGGTCACTTCGGCTACTAGGAAATCTTACTAATCAGCGGACCTGCTAAAATGTTACCTCTGGCTAGAAAATGAAGACATCTGGGGGGAAAAAACTTAAGATTATCTTCAGCCAAGAACACTGAAAGCTTTCAAGATTAGCAACAGAATTGAAAGGTCTCTTTGTGACAAAAATTTCCACTTTCATAAAATTTGTATCAGTCAGCACATACACTTATGCAGAGCATAGTAGAAAAAACACATTCTAGAATCAGACACACATAAGTTCTAGCTCTTCAATTTACCAGCTATATCACCTCCTCAGGAAAGATACTGAAGAATACTGTACAACAGGGATAATGTTATCTTAGGCACAGGGTAGCTATGAGGATTAAATACAAAAGTACATAATTCACCAAGCCCAGTGCCTGAATACAATCAATGTTAATTCCCTTTGTTCCAACACAAACTGTACAGAGTGTGGTATCTATAACTGAGAAGACTATCAATTATGTGAAAGAAAATTCAGAGTGACAGAATATAGATTATTACATTCCTATATTCTGTCCAACGTAAAGATGAAAATTACATATTTAATATTTACCTTCACTAAAGTTTTCCCCTTGATTAAGCCATAGGCAAATGGGTGAGGGGGAGAGCTCAAGGTGAAAAACTTCATATCATACACTGATTTAAAATTATGTATGTGTTTATGCTTGCAATCTTCCAGTGTTCATAAAAAACGTCACCACAAAATATACCATGAGTAATGATACCCTTTAAAATTTAATACTGTGAAAAAGTAAACTCTCATCTCAAAAGCCCTTTTTTGATCTAAATGTTTTTCTTCTTACAAATGTCTTGTAAAGCATTTGCAAAGAAAAAAAGTAAATCCCCTTATACTTTCAAAATAAAAAGTGTGCAAAAGGAGCTTTTCAAATTGTCAAATTGTTTTTCCCCATTCAGTCTTGTTTTTACAAACCAGAAATAAATACATCACATGCCAAAAGTATTGTCTGTTTGACAAACGTCACGGAAGAACACATGGAATTGACAAGCCCTGTCTGGACCAAAGGTGACAAGTTTTCTTGAGCAATTTTCAAAAAATTGAAATTGTCCTTACGTTTCAGTAAGGACAAATGCTTTTCATCAACAGTATGAACCTTTATATGCAGCTTACTTTATAACCCAACTTGTCCCCCATGCCACCCCTCAAAATCCTGCTTTTATGAACTTTAATGAGCACTAAACTATAGAACTCCAGTGATAATAACTCTAATCTGTTGGCCCTCAGAGGACTCCTCATGTGATCTTTAAATGAACATAGAGTAGACCATGTTTTCCCTTACTCTACACCTGCCCACAATCATTTGCAAAGCTCTTTCAGAACAATTACTACTAACCTTCCCCGCGATCTCAACAACTCCAACCTTGGTGCGTTTGTTCTCATCTCATCCCCAAACGCTCTGCTGGGGCTTCAAAGTCCAGGGTCCAGAGTGGAAGGACATCATCCCCTCCGTTCAGGGGCCAGGGCTACCCCCGGCCCCGGCCACTCCCTCTCTCCTCGGCCGGCCGGGGCGC